GAGAGAGAGAGCTTGGAGTCTGCCACTTGAGACGCATATGGGAGGCAGTGGAGTCGTGAGGATTAAACCTCGTGGAGAGGCGTCGGCATGTGCGTTCTTTTTCAGATAATCTCCCCATGCTTTGTCATGTGTCGGCGGCAGATCCAGCCTGAGAAAAGTAAAATCCAGTTGTCACTTTCGATATGAATCCCCGGATGTCATGTGAGTGAGACACGCCGGGTCCAAAATTCTCCATCAGCATATGTATATCCAAGTATCCGACGTACTTGAACATCACCGAGACACCAACTGAATCGTGACGTGACAAGTAACCGTAGCGTGAGCTTCCGTGCAGTTTGCTTGCTTTAGTCACGCCGGCCGGTGGACGCGCGGCTCCTTCCGTCGAACAGTGCCATTACTACTAGGACTGGAGTAGGGCAGAAGCCATCACTTTCGAACAGCTAATTAAGAAATTTTGTAACAGTGTTGACAAAAGCAGTTCAAGGGGGTCGATCCGTCTATGCATTCCATGGCAAATCTCGCCGCCATCGTGTTCGTCGTCGTCCTCAAAGTGGCTGTCCTCTGGCCGTTCACGGCCGCGCAGCTGAGGCCGGACTACTACGCCGGAGTCTGCCCCAACCTGGAGGGCATTGTCCGGAGCTCCGTGAAGCAGTCCATGGTGAAGTCCCCGTCTCCGCCCCCGCCACCCTCAGGCTCTTCTTCCACGACTGCGCCACCACGGTATGGTACACATTGACGCAAGTAATTAATTGATGGCTATTGTGCAAGACTGACAGACCGACGCACGTCATGCGTGCAGGGCTGTGACGCGTCGGTCATGATCATCGGTTCGACCGGAGACGACAAGAACCCCGACGGATATTCGCTGAAGCCGGAGGGCTTCCAGACGATCCTCGACGCCAAGGCCGCCGTGGACAGCGACCCGCAGTGCCGTTACAAGGTGTCCTGCGCCGACATAATCGCCCTCGCCACAAGAGAGTCCGTCTCCCAGGTAGGATGACTATTG